TGAAGGAAAAGACATGCAAGTCCGGGGAGCAGAGTCCCAAACAAGAGGGACACAAGGAGACCCACTCCAAGACACATCATAATTAAAATGCCAAAGGTGCCCTGGCTGATGTGGCTCAGTGGACTGAGTGCCAGCCTGTGAACCGAAAGGTCCCTGGTTTCATTCCTTGTCAGGGCACATGCCTGGGTTACAGGCCAGGTCCCCAGTTGGAGGCATGTGAGAGGTACCTGATCAATGTTTTTCTCCCCGTCTTTCTCTCCCTCCCTTCCCATAGCTCTGAAAATAAATAAATATTAAGGGGGAAAAAAAGCCAAAGTTTAAAGATAAAGGGAGACTCTTAAAAGCAGCAAGACAAAAGCAGTTAGTTAACATCAGGGGAGTTCCCATAAGACTGTGAGCTGATTTCTCAAAAAAATTTTTGCAGGCCAGAAGGAATTAGCAAGAAATATTCAAAGTCATGACATGCAAGGACCTACAGCCAGGCCCTGGTTGGTGTAGCTCAGTGGATTGGGCGCAGGCCTGCGAACCAGAATATCACAGTTCGATTCCCAGTCAGGGCACATGCCTGGGTTGCAGGCCAGTTCCCAACAGGGGATACATGAGAGGCAACCATACGTTGATATTTCTCTCCTTCTCTCCTTCCCTTCCCCTCTAAAGATAAATAAATAAAAAAAAATTTTTTAAAAAAAGGACCTACAGCTAAGATTGCTCTACCCCAAAAAGCTATCATTTAGAGTCAAAGAGCAGATAAAGAACTTCCTAGACAAGAAAAAACTATAGTTCATCATCACCAAACTATTATTATATGAAATGTTAAATGGACCTATTTAAGAAAAAAATCAAAACTATGAACAATAAAATGGCAATAAATACATATCAACAACTGTTATCTAGAAAATGAGCTAAGCAAACAACAGAGACAGAATCATGAATAATGAGAGCATTTTGGTGGTTGTCCAATGGAAGGAGTGTGGGAGAATGGATGAAGAGGGTACAAACAGTTACAGAATAGCCATGGGGACGTAAAGTACAGTAGGAAATGGAGTGGCCAAAGAACTTATATCATGACCAGTGAACAAAGGTGTGGGGATTTCTGAGGGCGTAGGGGGTGCTGGGTGGAAGGGGCAAAAAGGGAAAAAAATGGGACAACTGTAATAGCATAATCACAAAATGTAATTTAAAAAAGCATGGAGATTCAAATTTGGACAAAAAAAAATATTACAGTGAGAAATTTAAATACCCCTCAAATATTTGAGACCACCTGAGCTGTGATAAATTCAACGAAACTAGTGGATTAGAAGCAGTTACAATTGCTATTTCAAAAAATTCCCACAGGATTTAGTCCATCAATGCAACAAAGTAGAACAGGGTCTCTCAACCTCAGCACTATTGACACTCTGGCTGGGCAGCAACTCCTTGTGTGCAACTATCCTGCTCAACACAAGATATTTAGCAGCATTTCTGGCTTCTACCCAACTAGATAGCAGTAGTGCTCCCCTCCCTTTGATTATGAGACCCCCCAAATGTCTACAGACTTTGCTAAATCTCCCATGGGACAAAATTACTCAGGATAAGAACCAACAGGGTAGAGTGAGCCTCAATGCTCACCCTTACTAGCCAGAGTTCCAAAAAGCAAATTGACTCTAGTTAGAAACATTTCAGCAAATAGAGTCCATGACTCAGGGTAAAGTTATGAACCAAGTTTTCCACTCATCTTTTGAAATATTAGTATCTAAAGGGGAAAAAGCAACACACCCAAGACAGAAGCATACCATTTTCATGCCTTGTTCTTGCTGGAAGTCTTTAAAATTCCTAAGTCACAGACCCAGCCAGAGAAAACATCACCACATGAGAAAGTACGTACACTGGGCCCTTGGCCAACTCTCGAACTACAGGGTGTGGTTCCTCTTTGATGATGGTGAGGAAGTACTTTTCCGTACTCTCTTTTGTCTTAAGGTAGGAGTATGATGGTAGATACACAAATTTTTAAGGCTCTTTCAGTGGAAATACTACTTAAACCCAACCAAACAGAATATTGGTGGAAATTTACATCCTACTTAATTAAAGGGTTTTAGAGGAAGCTTTTTCTCAATTCATCTGTTGCAGAAAAAATCTTCATACTTTAGCACAGAATGCTGAACAAAACCACATTTTTTTTTTTTTTGGTCAATTAAGAAAGTTTAAAGCCCTGGCTAGTGTGGTTCTGTGGGTTGAGTGTGGGCCTGCAAACCAAAGGGTTGCTGGTTCGATGCCCAGTCTAGGGTTCATGACTGGGTTGTGAGCCAGGTCCCCAGTAGGGGGTGCACAAGAGGCAACCACACATTGACGTTTCCCTCTCTTCGTCCTTCCCTTCCTCTCTCCGAAAATAAAAAAATAATTATCTTTTGCACAAAAAGAATACTGAAATACAATAAAAAATTAATAAAGAATTTTGCAGTGCTTTATAATTTATGAAGATCAATTATGACTAAATAGTTTTAAAGATTCAGAAATGCAGAAACCCAGCCGAATCTAAAAACGATGCCAGGTTATATGTACTAGAGGAAAAATATCTTTTTCATAGAGTGAGTTCAATATTCATGTTATTGAACATGAATATTCACTTGTCCCTAAAAATAAGACCACCACCAAAATCATTCTCATTACCTGAAGGGTTTAATTATGTGTTCCAGTTTAATCAGGCTTTCTTAATTGGCAATATTTATTTGCCTTAGATTCCTTATTATTTCAAGACACGGGAAGAGTTAATCTAACCCTCTGCTTACCTGCCTATAGACCAGTAGAGCCTGTTTCGATTTGTAATATTTCATAAATATATAGTTCACATGTTCTAATAATCAAAATACATGCCAATAAAAACAGTTTTTTAGATATTTGCAATGAAGAGTATCGACTTCTAATACAAATATTGATATTACAAATTATACTTGCTGTATAACAAATCGATTCAAACTTAAGCAACCACCTACTGGGAAATTAGGTTATAAATTAGTATGAAAAGTAGATTTGGATTTTTTTTTTAACTATTGTCTGGCTACTGAATAATTTAAATCAGAATCTGTGGGTGGGTCCCAAGTATTGGTGGGTTTTAAAAACCCTAAGTTATTCTAACGTGCAGCAGCGCTGAGAACTGCAACACTATAACAACTAAATGATTTTTCTTTTAAATAAAAGCTTTCATCTCTCTTTTCCCCTTGATTTTTTTTTTTGAGAATACGCTCCTGAAATGTCAAAGTTAGGAAAATGTTTCAAAATTGAGGCTAACTTTAAAATGTAGTTGTGATATTTTAACTCAGTATGAAACACAAGGCTGTAGAAACTTCAACAGGCACACCTAGTATTATAAATTCTAAACCAGTTCTTAGGCAAGTTCACACAAGCTAGGGTTACGTAAGTTACTTCATGGGAATCTTAAAAGAAATATGTGACCCCAAAAATACATACATATTGTATGCGACCAAACTTAATAATGATCACTGGGGAACTGGGGAGGTAGAATCAACTTTGTATTTCTTGCTTCTTACAATTCTCTATTACTTAATTTTTAATAATTTGTGTGACTATCTCCTTTATTCTATGGTTTAGAAATCATAAGAATGAAAAATGCATGTGCTGCACCAATTTTTTAAAAGCCTAAACAAATCCTACTAAATGAAACTACTTTCGTAAAGCTATGAAAATTATGCTAGTACACCTCATCATATTTAACCTCTATTGTTACTTTTAACTTTTTACTCCAATGAGATAAACCATAACTACTAGAACAACGTGCTGTCCCAGCCTAATGGCTTCATTACACACAGAACTTTTTATCCAAGAGTTTCCTTTGGTTAAAGCGGCAACGACAGGGATTTCTAGACCACAGTACAAACTAGTTTCTACGGGGTTGAAAAACAGTTCTAATTTTAGAATTTCAGTACATTGCAATGCTCAGTGATTGCCGCGGATTAAAACTATGGAGGTTTTGCTTCCCCAAAAACAGGCCAAAGTGGGAAATCACGTTTTTTGGCCCGTTAGTTCTCTTCTCCTTTTCACAAAACATCCCACCTAACTCCCTAATTAAATATGAGGGCTGGGATTTATTTACTAAAAGATTCTTCAAACGACGCTATTTTCTTCTCTTGCCTTCGGATTTCGCACGTAATACTAATGACAATTTCAAAAGCACGCACGCTACACAAGGATAAAGCCAGGTAAAGGACGAAAGTCGTACCCGTGAAATTCATGGTGACTCTGTGTTTGGTTTTTATTTAACACGTTTACTCTTTTTTTTCTCTCCAGGAAGGCCAAAAAACAGCGTACAGTGCCAAACGTACTAAAAGAACTTCCTAAAAAATAATGTAGGCCACATTCTTTTTATCACCCCTGCGGAGATAAAGTGTGCGTTGGAAATCAACTTTCTTAACATTTCTTGTCCGTGTCTCAAGGTCGTTAGGATAAAAAACAAAGTATCCAATTCTCAAATGCCTCGCAGCCCTCCAAGCCCTTCCTAAACGACAGAATAATAAAGCATCTGCCTTCCCGCTCCCTCCGCCCGTTAACCAGGCAAGAGCTACCCGCCCAAGGGTGGCGGTCCCCCAGCGTGCGAGGCGCCTAGGCAAAAAGAGGACCGCAGACCCGGAGCGCCGGGCTCTGCCCGAGCGCGGCACGAGCCCCTGGACGGCGCCCCGTGACGGCCCCAGAGAGTGCGGGGGCGCCAGACCCGCAGCGACAGCCCAGAGGAGCACTAGCGGCCTTTCCCGGGAGCAGGGCCCGACCCACGAAGGCGGCCGCTCCCAACAGGGAGCCGAGCAGGGCGTCGCCCGCGTCCGATCGACCGGGGCCTGCAAGCATCCCCCAGCCCCGCATTCACGAGCCGAGGGACCCCGGTGTGGGGCGTGCGGTTCCAGCCCTGTGACAAGGAGGGACAGTAGTGCGAACAGGCGGCCTCCTCCAAGCTCTAGCAGGGACAGCAGCAGGGTTGGCCATAGAGCGGGCTCGGGGGGAATTAGGCGCCTCACCTGCTCCTCCCGAGACTGCCGCTACCGCTCGCTGGGGAGAAAACATGGAGCATCAGCTTTCAGCAGAAGTAGCAAGGGCTCAGAGAGGGGAGGGCTCGGGCGGGAACGAACCAGGCCGTGGAGGCGAGAAACAGGCGGGGCTTGGGCAGTGGCAGAAACTGGGGAGGAGGGGCGCGCGGCGGATGGGCGAGGCCCGCCGCGAGGCCGGAGCGGGAAGGCGCACGCGGCCGAATCCCGCCATCGCCGACGTGAGTGCGCGTGCGCGCGAGGCGCGCCGCCGTCTACCTGGGGCTGCGCGCTGCGGACGACGGTCCGTTAGGAACGGTAGTCCTCTGCGTTCTGGGTCCCTTCCAGCTCTCCCTGTTCTGCGGACTCATCCCGGGAGGGGAGGAAATAGAAGAGAAGAATGGGGCTTCTCGCGGCTCTTCGAGAACTGAACTACAATTCCCAGCAGGCCTTGCCAGGAGTTGAGGGCCGACCTGGGCTGGAGCCCTACTGGGCCGGAGCCCTACTGTGAGTCTATGGCAGACCTAACCCTTGTGAAAACCAGCCTCGAACGCCTATCGAACCCCCCACCGGCCGCGTTTGAGATGGTTTTGGTGCTTAATGCTGGCCAGGTCCACAGATGGGCAGCACCGGTTTCTTAACGATTTTGACTTCACAAAGAGAGGAGGCTGTGATTTCATCACCCCTTATTTCCGTCCCTGGCCAACCCTGGTGGTGCACTCTCACCACTCTTAACAGCTAACGTAAAGACTTCCAGGGAAACCCCTCCCACCGGCTTTGTCCACCCTAAACCGTGGCCATCTTTTGTTAGCCTCAGATTTGCAGGAGTTTTTCTGAAGCTGCTTTTGCAAGCCCATTCTTAGACTGAATGGTAGATCAATACAAGAATTTCCGGAATTGCTTCTGTTCACACTTCACACGTGACTGAGGAAATGTCAGTTGCCACGATTGAATAGTGGTGTTATTTTGGATTTACTGAGGTAGGGGCAGTTCTCTTGGGGGTAAGTATCTGGTGGAGCTTATGGGAGGCTGAAGCATCCATTATACCACCATCACCACCTCTTGGCATCACCATTGCCTCATTCATCTGACAAATTAATCACTTTCTTTTGCCTCTGCCTGAACTAGTATAACCTACCTAGAACTTCCTTCCAGCTACTTCTAGGCTCTGCCAAGCCCTTAAGCTATTTTTAACAGCTAGTGGTTAGGTCAGAAGTGAAATCTTACCTAAAGAAGTCCTGTGTTGTTTTTCTCCTGCCCTTTCTGATCCTCACCAAACTCTGAAGATTGTTTGAATACTCTCATTCAGGCTTTAGATTGAAGAATCTAACATAGACCAGCTGGGGCAGCCACAAACTAGACATGAGCATCAGGACAAGTGGTTACTCGGGTTTCGCACTGGGTGCAGAAGACGGGACCTACAGGACAGTGACACAAATCTAGGACAATATTTGGTAGACTCAGAAAGGGGGACTAAGGGCCAATGACTTGTCAGAATTGTAACACACCCCAGCATTTTCTATTCCATTTCCCGGTTCATGTCCGAAAGACAGATTATCTGACTTGTTCTCTTTTTGTTTATCTCTTCCCACTAGAATGTAAGTTCCAAACAGACAGGAATTGTCTGTTTTTGTTCACTACGACATCCCCAGTGCCTCAGTGGTGCCAGACAGATAGTAAAAACTCAAATACTTTTAAACAGATGAATAAAGAAGGAATGTGTTAAACCACTAACACTGCTCATTCACTTTCTTGTTCCTTAAATATTAAATACCTACTTTTGCATTTGAACAAATACCCTATTCTATTTTAAGGACTACCAGCAGATACCAATGGAAATACATCCTGTCAGGAAGTGACCAGCAAATACTAATGTGACACCCATCCCAATATAACATAATCAAGGAGAGCGTCAGCCAATATCAGCCTCTTCCATACCTTGTGGAAGTTTTGGGCATTTGAAATAACACAGTACAAATTATAAGTAGACTTGAAAGAGGAACATGTTTTGTTGTTATTGTTGCCATTTCCTTCTCAACTCGCCAGGGGCATCAAAACAGTGGACAGTCGAAATGGTAAATATGGTAACACTGATTATAGCCTGCCTTCAGCTCTCTCACCCTGAATTGAGTCATGATGACCAGAGGCTGAGCTTCACTTGTGGCTTTCCATAAGTAGGTGACATGTAGACATGTTTGGATGGTTAAGGTCAGTGGCTTTAAATTCTGACCCTGATGCTCAGTAGCTGCCCAAACTTGAGTGAGATACTTAACTTTTTAAAACTCATTTCATCGTTGTCTTTCAAATGATTTGACTACTCACAGGGTTGCAAATTAAATGAGGTATGTTTGGTAATTATGACTGATGCATGGTTAGTGCTCAAAAATTGGTTATCCTCATTCATTCTGAGAAAGCCAAACAAAGTCGTTGTTAATATTTGGCATACTCAAGTATTATTATGAAGCACAAAAATAGCAAAATTGTTTTCTGCAATTATATCTTCTGTGACTCAGTTTTAAAAGCTTTCAAAAATAGGGCATCTATTATGTACCAAGCACAATGCTAGACAGTAATGCTGCAGCAATGCATGAAACACGTTCCTGTCCTGCAGAGACTCACAGTCTTGTAGGGTAAGTGGCCAAGTAAATCGCTCACTGTGACTGCTCGGCACAGGTCAGCCTTCTCTTCTACCACTCGCAAAATCTATGTTTAAGCAATAATATGGGCACTCAGAAGGACTGGACTACTGGCGTGTCGAGGTGTTACTTAAATACAAATCTTACTTTGTGGTGTAAAAAATGAGGTGATGAGTTGGTGTCCTAGTTTATAAAAAGAAAATAGTCAACCCCAACTCACAGAGTGTTATAAAGCTGAATAGCAGTCCCTCAACCTGGTAACACAGCAAAAGCTCAAGACCTGTCAGCTGCTTCATTATTGTTATTTCAGCCAACAGAACAGCTGTCTAACGCTTCAGAAAGACAACAGGAGAGATTCCTAGAATTTACTCTTAAAGAAGCAAGATTAACTAATGGTGTGTGTAGCACACTATCCTTTGTATTAAAAAGGGTGGATGAAGATACAGGTTTGCTTTATGCACCTTGTATTTGCCACAAAAAGCTTCGAACAGTTGTTACCATGTGTATATAGAAGGAGAGACTGGTGGGTGAGAGTGTTAGTATAGAAGAAACTTTATAGTATACTGTATATGCTTTTGAAAAATATGTGTGTATGTGTGTGTATATGAACATATATATGATGTGAATATGCATATATCTATTTTGAAATATCTTTTTTATTCAAATATCATTTTGATCACTTAAAGATTGGTCTTCAAACATTATAGCCAATGATGCCACACTTGCCTATGATCTTGCTGACGTAAAACCACATCCACACCTCAGTGGCCACCAAACCATTCAGCAGAGCTTTCTTAACTGCAAGCAGTTTGAAGTTACCAGTTTGAGCACTATTTTTTCAAGCTCTAAATAGCTGTTGGGATCTCAGCAGGGGCTGGAGGAATCAGCTCAACCTTGGCATAGTGTCAAAATGTGGCCAATCAAGGTTTCAAGTCAGTCACAGCAGCATTTACCAGCACTGGGTCCTTCTCTGTGAGGTTACAGACAAATGGGTGCAGGATGGCAATTCTGTGGCCCTGTTGGCCAGCTGAATGTCACACAGATGGAGTTTGGCTGTTCAAACGGCCCAAGGTTGAACCCACACTGGATGTCTAAGGTTTCTTTTCTCTTTTTAGATTTTATTATTTATGTTTAGGGAGGAGGAAAGAGAGGGAGAGAAACATTGATGTGCGAGAGACACATGAATCGGTTGCCTCTTGCACCCCCCAGCTGGGAGGCCTGGCCCACAACCCAGGCATGTGCCCTCACTGGGAATTGAACCTGCAACCTTTTGGTTCACAGGCCAACAATCTACTGAGCCACACCAATCAGTGCTATATTTAAAAATGTTTAATTAAAATACATAATATTTTGTAAAAGTTAAGAAAAATATGGGGTAATGAGATGGCCTAGAAGCTAAAATGTGGTGGGAAATTAGCTATGTAAATACCAATCCTGTAAGGACAGGGCCAAGGAAGAAGAGGCCCCACCCAGTGTCTCAGCATTAAAAACTGCTCAATATCCTTGGCTGGTGTGGCTGGAACATTGGCCTGTGAACCAAAAGGTTGCTAGTTTGATTCCCAGTCAGGCCAGGTACCCAGTTGGGGGCATGCAAGAAGCAGCAGTCTATAATTTCTCTTACATATTGATGTTTCTCCTTTTTCCTTCCTTCACTCTCTCAAATAAATAAATAAATAAATGCTTTTTTTTTTTTTTTAATTGCTCAATAGAGCAGTGGCTGCACTCCTGGGAGCACTTTATAAATCTCACAGGGGCCCTTCCCTGTCTGAAAACTACCACCGAATCCTCATTAGCCTTAAGACAAAGTCTCAACACTTTGGTTCTATAATTCTGCTTCTCCAAACTCTGTCCCCAACACATTTTCTCATTTTATCTCCCTTTTGTCCCAGTTGAAGCCCTTGGTTCTAGCCAACCTGAGTTAACCACACCCAAAACACCTTGTACACAGACACATTTCTGAGTCTCCAGCCACCACAGATGGCCTAGGTATTGCGTACACTAAGGCAGCCTGTGGAGGGAAGGAGCAAAAGGCGATCAAATCTGGGCTCCTTCTGGATAAGCCAGCACTGCAATGCACCATAGTCTGGCTGGGAGGAAGGGGTGCATTTTTACAATTGGTCTGCTCAGGTCTTACTATGTATCTGCTTCTCTTCTCCCCTTCCTTCAGTGACCTCTTTACTACTCCAAACTCCTATCTTTGGGCATCTTCATAAAACCTCCCAAAGCCACTATAACTTCACAGGGTATTATGAGGTGATACCCTGCCCTCGTAAATTTATACAATTCACTTGCCATCTAATTATAGCATTAGAGGTTTGTGTTGTTTGGGATTCTTTTTGGTTGCTATTTAATTTGTGTTTTTTAACATCACGTGAATGTGTCCTAAGCCTCAACTAGCTTGTAAGCTCATTGAAGACAGGATAAACATTTTTTGGATACCTCCAGATTTTCCAGGATATTGTCACACATACACAGCAGGTGATCAGTAAACATCTGTGGACTAAATCACATATACAAATAACATCCCAAACAAGAGTCAGTCTCGCTTTCTGGGA